TGCCCTCCAGTTCCCACCCACCACTTGTTGCTGTTTTTGTTAAGTGCCGCAGAGTTGATTTCTGAGCTGAGTTTGAACTGCCGACTTCGTGGTTTGCAATACACGAGGACTTATCCTACAAGGCCCCCCCAGGAGTCCCGCCACTGCAGCCACCTCCCAATGACACGGAGCCGTTCTGCTCTCAATTTGTGACCTAAATGACAATGCGGAGCTGCTCCCCTGTCTCCCTTCAGACGTACGTAACCTTGCGGGATGAAATGAACTTAAGCAAACTACGTAAAGAAGGTGTAGGAGAACTTTAAGGAATTCTCAGAACAGCAGAAGTGACCCAACATTAGCTCATCCACATATCATTAGAGTCATCATCGACGCTCCCACTTAGGGGAGATCCTGTGGACACAAGGCCTTTACTGGCCACTCTCCCAGCTGGTGCAGGGTGGTGTCACCAGCCTGCGGATCCCCAATGCTTACGGAACATCTCGTAAGAGACAGTTCAACCCAGAGCTCAACTCAGTGAGCAGTGGCCTATTAACTGAAACCACTCATCCCTGCACGTAAACGTTCAAATGCTCTTGTGACAAACCAAAATGCATGCCTGAGTAAAAGAGAGGAGGGCCAAAGGGAGGTTTACAAAGAGACAAAAATCCCAGGACCACACTGTCTTCTGTGAAAATCGACTCTTTCCAGTGCTCAGAAAGAAATACCACCTTACCACTTCCCTCTGGAGAATCAATGAATGCTGTTCTAGCATTTTCGGCTTGGGTCTGCATTTCTCTGGCGCAAGTAAAGTATGTTTTAATGAGCCAGCACGGAGCAGCCTGCTGCGTTTCAACATCTTTGTTAAAATCAGACATCAAGATTTTCTCAGCCTTTGAACTAACCCTAAAATATATGTGCAGGATGCTTGCTATCTAAAAAGCCAAGTTCAAAATGAGAATAAACACATGGATGGCAACATTCCTACCAACACAGCTGTTGTTAACTTCCATCAAATTGGTTCTGACTCATAGAAATCCTGGATGGGGTTTCTGAGGAGCAGCTGGTGGGTTTGAACCAACCCTGCAATTCCAATTGACCTTGCAGTTCAGTGCTTATCCTACAGCGCCACACCAGGACTCCACACACAGTATACTCTGCTAAATGGCAGGCCCACAACCGCCTTCTGTCTTTTTTTCCAAATCGATGTTGTCCTACTGGTACAAACCTCAAAGTCTTCAGCTTTACTGAAAAAGTGCCCCAAAAACAAAGCAACGGAGACAGTCAGTAGTGACACAATGAAAATGTTTTTCTCTTTACATTCAAAAGCAAGAGGAAAAACAAACTGCCTTCATTCAAAGCAGTTAAGGAAAAAGGGTTTTTTGTTTGTGTTTTTCCTGCCAAACTCTGAATGCACATGAATGCAGGCATTTGATGAAGAGTTGACTCAGGAAGCTATGCAAACAAGGAAAACAAAATAATATTCCCCAGGCTGTCAGTCTGGCCCTGGATTCATTATAGGTGTTTGAAATGAAGACTTGTTGGGTGCCGCTGAGTTGGCCCTATGGGACAGAGAATTGCTCCCATAGGGTTTACCAGACTGTCATTTTTATAGTGGTTCAAACTCACCAATTGTTCCTCGGGAGAAAGACGAGACTAGCTGTTCCTGTGAGGATTTACAGCCTCAGAAACCCAATGGAGCAGTCGGAACTGACTCGGTAGCAGAGGGTTGCATGTGGTTTTAGAATCTTTACAAGAGCAGACGGTCAGATCTGTCTCAGGCAAAGTCAAAGGGTGGGCTTGAACTGCTAATCTTTGGGTTAATGGTCAAGCACTTAACTGCTGCACCACCAGACTGCTACCTGGCTCTTCTAACATGGAAAAGGAGGAGGACTTGGAGAGCTTCTAGGAGGCTCAGTGGTGCCCCAGTCTGTGCTTTGGGGTCTGTCACTGGGCCGAGGAAAATGTCATGTGGTTTCACTCAGAGTGAAACCCTAACAGCTCTTGGGTGGGCAGCTTCCTCTTCTTTTCCATTTCCAAGAATGCGCCTCTCAATCACGTTTTGCAAGAAAAAGCTTGCTGCTATGTGCGTCTGTGCATTCACCTGGGATGTGGGGCTTTCATCTTTGCAGGGGTGGGGTTTAGAATATTTCCTGAAGGACTCTACAGTTGACAGTGACTGAGCATCCATCCAGAGGTGTTCCAACCACTGCTTCATAGGGCCCGTGGGGACAATGAGGACAGCGTGACTACAGATTCACGGGACAATGCCATCACCTGTTTGTTTAGGCCAATCTTCCAGACATGTCTTGCAGCCCTATGACACTGGGGCCACAGAGAATCACCCCATCCCTTGCAGACACCTGCCCAGAATTTCCAGGTGAAATGTCAGCTGGCTGTAACTGATGCCAAAGGTTTCATTCAGTAGTCATGATGAAACGCCCAGGCATCAGTGAAGTGAGGTACAGGTGACACACAGGTCTGTCAAAGGATTAGAAACTATGTAAAGTAGAGAACTGCAGAAGAAAGCAGGGGCAGTTTGCTTAGAACACACAATGTAGCTGGAGTAACCCTTCCCAGTCTTCTGTAGTCTCCTTGCAGACCTGTGTCCCTGGTGGAGAAGCAAAGCTAGAGGTCTGACGGCCTGTGCAGCAGCCTTTCCATCTGACTCCCGGGTGCTCAGCAGCAGCACGGGTACCGTACCAGCTGGGTCACTCCCTGCAATGGTAGCTCCAAAGGGGCTGTGGCTCCATAGGAGCAAGACCTGGTGGTAGGCTCCGTGCAGTTGATACTGACTCAGAGAAACCCTAGGGGACAGAGCAGAACTGCTCCACGGGGTTCCCAAAGTTGCCGTCTTTACGTAAGCAGGCTGCCACTCCTGTTTCTTGCTGACCTGCTGGTGAGTTCGAATCACCACCCTCTAGATTAATAATCAAGCGCTTAACCACTAAGACACCAGGGCGCCTTGTGCCTTCCAGGAACAAAATAACATCCAAAAGCTGTTGCTGCTGCGTCCATTCCAGCTCCATGCAATCCCAGTATAGGACTGAGTAGAACTGCACCATAGGGTTCCCAAGGCTCTCAATAAGCAGATTGCCACACTTTCCCCCCCCTCAGTTAGCACCTGGGTGCTTAACCACTGCACCACCAGGGTTTGCTGTGACTATCACAGTCTAGAACACCGTACCTGGAAGTTCTACTCTACTCTCTACAACACATGACATCGTTATGAGTGGAAAATCGATGTGGCGGTACTGAGCAACAGCAGCAGTAAGAGCCCACCTGTGAGCCAGGGCGCAGCCCTCACCCCCACCCTGTCACTCAGGCTCCTGTCCTCTGCTCTTCTGGTGACTTCGTGACACGTAGGACCCAAGTGGATTGCCAACTTCAGTTATTTTTGGACTTTCATTTTTAGTATTTTGATAAGAGCTGTGGATTTTACACAATGAACACTGTCTAAAGGCAGTGAAGCCTTCTTAGCTGTCCAGTTGACTCTGGTTTAAGTGATGGGCCTAGACCTTCCGACATGACACACGAACACTGAACTTCATCCCAGAACAATGGCACCTTTGCCACGTTGGGGGGGAAAACAGTGCCACATAGAGGCAGTAATATTAAATGCGTTTTAAATTAATCTGAACAAATCTTACATTTGTAGTGTTTCATCTCTGCTGGTGTAACGGGAAAGCAGCCCTAGAGGATTGGGCGGATGGGCATGGTTGTGTGCCTGAAAATGGTTCCAAAGATGATTATTCTTACACACCAACTTCTGGAAAATTCAAGTTTTACTGATAATCTACCTGAAGAAAACCTTAACACCTAATATAGAATCTGATACATCTGTGATGCCCGAACCTTAAACCAGAAGAAACGCACCAGCCCCTCTGTGTGAAAACACATGTAAGGAAGCAGGGCCCAATGGAGGAGAGAGAGCGGCGGTCGGTGTACCCATGTGCATTCTGGGAGTGAGGGATGATCCTGAAAACATCACCTGGGTGACAGCCAAAGCAAAACTGGAAGAAAGTGCAGGGTGAGTGACTTTTTCAGCAATGAGAGCTTAGCGCCAGAATGGGCCCAGAGTGACAGTAAGCACTGGGCTCAACACAGAAGGTGCCTGGGGCAAGGGGGGCTGAGGGCAGCCACTTCCCCCCACAGCAGACCCCTTTGCTGGCAGAACACATAAATGTTGCCTAGAAAACTGGGCTCTGAGTGTTTGGACCTGTCTTTCCAGACAGAGGGAGGGACAGGGTCTCAGTAGAGGTCTGAGATGTGCTGCTGAGCCCTAACACTGGGCAAGGGAGGTTTTCAAATACTTTCATCCTCAATGAGCTGCAAAGATGTTTAAGAGCATACACAGTTCAGCCGAGCTTTTTTGACATAACGAGATTACAACGGGTATGAAATAATAAAATGACAACCAAAGTCACAGGCTTTCTACTGCTAGATCAATCCAGGAAGCCCACCTCTGTGCATGGGGCTCCTGTAGCGGTGGGCGCACCAGCTCCCTTCTGACACCCAGGTCAACACCACCCAACACCACTGCCATGTCCTGTCACAGGACCCTCCTGCTGTGACAGGCTTCACACACACACACACACACACACACACACACACCCTGGCAGGGGACACAGACCAACAGAGATGGTGACAGAGACATGGTGCAGGCAAACTCATCATATTCTTCTCCACCGGCAGGGCAGGGCAGGAAACTCCCACGCATCTTTAAAGGCCCTGTCCCCGGGGACCCCTCCCCACTGCCTGCCCCTGCAGCTGCTGGACCTCAGTGAGCAGCAGCTTTTCTAAGAACCACAAGGAAGTTGGTAGGTTCTGGTACTGTGAACCCAGCACTCATCAGCCTTTCCCTGCCTGACTACCTGAACCTTTCTCGGTGATAACCCAAAGCCCCTAAGGGTCTTCTTCCCTCTGGGCTGTAGGTAAAGACTTACCAGCCCCGCTCAGTATCCCCCTCTGCCAGAGAACAAATCAGAACAAAAGTGTGAGAGAGAACAGATTGATCCCCTTACCTTCTGTCCTTTATCCTTCTGAAACACAAAGACAGGCGGAGCAATGGCAGGCTTTTCTGCAAAAAGAGAAATGGTGTTTTTTTTACCCCCCAACACTGAAGTCACACAGTCAAAAAAACTCCATGCTTTCAAAAATAAGTTTAACCAAAAAACCCCACATAACTCCAAATTCCATAGAAGTTTCTTACGCTGGGTGTGAGAGCGAAGCTTGGGCCAGCTGACAATTCCCACACTGAACGACATGTGCTCAGTTCTGTACTTCTGTCATTAGCACGTTTTTGGAATCCATAAAATACTGGGGACGTGATGAGTGTGGGAGCATGCACACTCATCATGGCAGATGAGTGTGCATCATGGCAGATGGCAGTTTGGACGGCACGGGGGTGGTCACCACGCTGCACCCTCACCTGCAGCCCCCTCAGGAGCGCAACTCAGAAGTGCCTGGTCCTCAGGGAGCAGCTCCCAACTTTCAAGTGTTGGACACCAAATGAGGGTTTCATTTTGTTTTTGAATTTGCAGGTTGCAACCCCAGAGCATACTGTACGTGCTCTCTGGAGACCCAAGACCAGCAGAGCAACCCTGACACTGGACTTGGATCTGAGTGGGACCACAATCTGTCCTCAACAGTTGTTGAAGAAAGGAAACACTTTGGGGTGCCCCCAAGCCCTGCCTTGGGTTTCCTATCCAGGGGCAGCCAGATCCACATCCCCCTGCTCTCAACTGCCGGTCCTGGAGTGGACACCACTCAAGAAGCCCATTGGCCACAGGGAGGCAGGCCCAGGCTGGATGTGGTGGGTTTAGGTGTGCTCTGATGAGCCCGTGGATGTGTTGAGCCTCCTTTGGGGGTGGGATGTGGGCGGGAAACCACAGGATTAGGAGCTGGGTGGTGACTTGGGGGCACAGCCTTGCTCTTGGGGAGCTGTGCACTGCTGCATCATCACCACACCGAGACAAACGCTCTGCGGGAGGGGACATAGCTGGAGGACACACTGTGTGGAGGACTGACTTGGTTGTGTCTGGGTGTTGGGAAGGGCCTCCACTAAGAGGGGACTGTGCTAAGGTCTCCAAGTGAAGGCACCACTCTGGAGAGTTAGGCTGAGATGAGAAGATCCGGGGAGCAGGCATGATGGGTGTGGGGCAATTGCTTGGAGAAGGCCAGAACCAAGAAAATGACCCCCGCACCCCCTGCCAACTCCTGGAGAAATAGGACAGAGCTGGTCCCAGTTAGTGCACATGTCTGTCCTCCACCCTCCACAGTCCCCGCCACACCCCTGAAACCTCTGCAGCCTTGTGTCTGAGCTACACCACAGTCCTCCCTCCCAGAATGTGACCCAGGGGGACAACTGGAGGAGGCAACGCAGCCAGGTCCTAAGAGAGGTGGGGTGGTTCTGCAAATCTCCTACAGCCTCAGCTCCCGACACAGTACAACAGCAGCCGGACATACCCAGACATAGGAATAAACGAGTACCCCAGACAATAAATAAAGCTGAAAGGATGCTTGTAGGGTTTGGGGCAGAGCAACTGCTTACCCATGTCACACCTACTCTGGGAATCCCAAAGTTCCCTGGCCCCATAAGTCCACCTCAGATCCTCCTCTGTCCCCAACTCCCAGCCATCAGTAACGTACTGAGTCAGCCAGGAAGGATCCAACCCAGCCGCTACCAGCCCCCTATTTTCCTCCAGTCCCTGGCCCTGGCCCTGGCCACCCCATGAGGTCCAGATGGAGCCCAGTGCCCAGGGTTGCGGGGGTGTGGACCTGGTACTAAGACTGAGACTCGAGCCCAGGATGTCTTTGGCGGTCCTGGGGAAGGGATGCTGGGCTGGTGGCCCTTCTTGGAGCTGTCAGCAGCCACTTGTCATCACAAGACACACTGACTCCTGCTGGCACAGTCTGAGGCCTCACACTTTACCAGTAACTGCTGCTTTCTGCTTTAGCCACTTGGAGCTCCATTTCTCCCACCTGTCTGTCCCTCACAGACTCAGCCACTGGGAACTCAATGAAGCATAAAGGGACCGCCTCCAGACACCTCATGTAGCTCTTCGTTTATAGTCTGCCTTCCCTCCCCCCAAAATTCCATGAGGTCAGAGACTCTGCTTGTTCTCTGATGTGAGACTTCACGTGAGCATTCCGTGAACTCAGAACAGCAGCTGGCACAGTGTATGGAAGGAAGGAAGGATGGAGCTGGGGAATCCGAGACCAGGAACACGCAGCAAAGATCCACGATGCCAGAGAAGCGAGCACATGGGGTCAGCACTTGGCTGTGGAGGTGGAGCTTTCTGGAGATGAGCACTGAGCTGGGGTCTCCAGAATCACAAATAGCTTGAGTCAGTTCCAGCCATGAGCCCAGTTCCTACCAGATCACAAGCCAGGGATGCAGTGGGAGAGGGATCTCTGCAGGGCACCCAGAACAGGAAGAGTCTGTGGGATCAAGCTCGGAACACAGCCACCTGAAGAGCAGGACTCAATCAGACCCTCCCTAAAATACTGTGTCCCTGGTCCTTGTACCCTACTCTGCCATCGCTGTAGAGGCTTCCATTCCCCTGAACCCTGTACTTACGGGCCCCCTCTGGACAACTACCGTTCGCAGTCCCTTAGCCTAGAATACTCGCCTGTTGCTTTCACAAAAAAACAGAGCAAAACAAACCCAAAGCCGCTCACTGGTGACCCCATGTGTTTCAGAGCAGAATTGCTCCCTTCTGGTTTCTTAACTGCAGTCTTCCCAGAAAGAAATCTGACCACACAAATTAAGTGCTTGGCTACAAACAGAACCGTCGGTGATTCAAACCCACCAACCATGGAAAAAAGACCTGGCGCTCTGCACCTGTAAAGACTGTTGTTACTGTTGAGTTGTTTCCAAGGAGCAGCTGGTGGGTTTGAACTGCTGGTGCTGATCCAGCTTAGAACCCCTCCCCCCGCCCAACACACACAGGGCAGCTCTACTCTCATACGGGGATTGACTTGATAACACCCAACAACTTTTATAGAAGCAGCCTACAGGCTTTCCTTCTGTAGCACCACTGGGCTTAAGGAGCTCTAGTAGCGTATTGTTTAACTAGGCTACGAACTTCAAGGTCAGCAGTTGGAAACTACCAGCCGTTCTGCAGGAGAAAGATAAGGTTTTCTGCTCCTGTAAAGATTTACAGCCTCGGAAACCCTAGGCAGTGTCGCTGTGAGTCAGACCCCACTCCAAGGCCCACCACCACCACCAAGTTAAACTTTATAAGGTCCATGTTGCTGTCAAGTGCTGCCAAGTCGGTTAACTCATAGCGACCCTATATAGGGTTCTCGAGCAGCAGATGGGTTTGAACTGCCGCCCTTGCAGTTAGCAGTCCAATGCTCCTATAGCGTCACACCAGAGTCAAGTGCAAACCAAGCGTGCCATGAGGCACAGCTGACTTTCCTGCAGCTAGTACTGTCAAGTCTGCCTTGTAGCCACCCTGTAGGATACAGCAGAATTGGCCCACAGGGTTCCCTAGGCTGTAATCGTTCCGGAAGCAGACTGCCACCCCTTTCTCCCATGGAGCATCTGGGTGGGTTCACCTTTTGGTGAGCAGGCTAGCACGTGCCCACTGTGCCTGGCCTATAGCCAATGCGTAATTCTGTGCACATATTGTCTCTTTCTAAAAGCTTCCAGTCTGGGTCCCCAGATCGACTCCCTGGGCTCTTTAAGCCTCAGCTCATGCCCTCATCACCTGTCTACCACCCCAAGGCTGCCCGTTTGGGATTCGGGAGCCCACAGACACAGTCTCTGCTCCCAACACACATCGCAGTGCACATCCCACCCCCTCCTGCTTCCTCACACGTTAACATCAGCTGCTGCACTATCACATCAATAATTACTGAGCTCTTGTTCTACGTAAGGCACCACGGGAACATGGAGCAGAAGCTGAGGGACAGGGAGTGTGTGCCGTTGTCGGCTGGCTCACTCCTCAGCCCACAGAGCAGAGCTCTTTGTCTGTCTCCTCACCAATGTACCCTCACAGCCTCGGGGAGCAGCACTGGAAACCATGCAGAGCAGCACACCACAGCCGGCTGCCCACTTCAGGTCTCCCGGACCCCACACCAACAGCATGAAACCAAAACGTCAAAACCAACTTCAGTCACCTCCCCCAAACACAGCATCCATCGCAGACCCACTACACTTCTACTCAATCACAAACCCCTCATGCTTACCACAGTAGCCAGAATGGCAGTTCAGGCTCACCAGCTGCTCCTCAGAAACCCTATACAGGGTTGCTATGGGTCGGAACCAACTCGACGGCACTTCACAACAACATCACCATCTGGTTATGCCACTGAGCACACAGCACTAGGGCAGCTATGGGAAACCCAAGTCTGGAAAAGGAGCAGGGGACCTGAGGAGCGGAAGCCATCCTAGAGCCATTGGAATTTCCCAACCCATATGTGAAGGGAGTCCAGTCACCACAAACTCAGGTGGTCTCTGACCCAGACGCTGCAGTCATGTGGTACAATGGTAGAGCACAGTGTTCAATGTTGAGAAAACACACAACCAAGAAACCTGGATTTCCCACACAGGGGAGCAGACACCCTCCATTTTAAGAAGCACTGGGCCTGGATGACTCGGCAAACACTGGGACACCAAGCAAGATGGGGGGTGAGAACCTCTCCTCGAACACCCCCACTCTACCTCTGGTGGCTGGGGCGTGGTCAGAGATGTGCCACACACTTCCTCTCTGGTCTCGCCACCACACCCATCATGCCTACTATTGACTTAAAGCCCCCCATGCTGGCCCTACTTCTAGTGACTCTCTCCAACTGTGATCCATGTGACAATCACAGAGCCCGGCTCTATCCTCCCCCCAGGAAGACAACAGAGAGAGACCTGGCTGCCCCCACTGGCCTCTATCCCATCGTGGGTCCAGGTCAGCCGTTCTCACCAAGGTCAGTACCTGTGTCAGGTTGTCAAGGTCCCCCCTCCTCCTGCGGTCCCAGGGGCATGGAAGGTGCTCTCTGCTCTCGTCCCCCTCCCCACAGAGCTCCCAGCAGCATCTCCTGCTATCACACGGGCTCAGCAATGCCATCACGATGCTCATTTGGTAACTCCTACCCCGAGGGTCCACCGTGCAGCAACAGGCGCCACACTGGACTGTTGTAGGTGTGTGTGTGTTTGTGTGTGTGTGAAGGGGAAACACACCCGAGTCTTGTGCTGACATCAGACACCCAAACACAACAATGTGGAGAGCAGAGGTCCCGGGGACAATGGATCAAGGATGGTTCCTTG